GCGCTTAAATCAGTCAAATGCTAATCGTTTGTTACCGTTTTATTGTTTTATTGGTTTGATATATTGGTGATTAAGTTATCATACTTCCATGATTAATCACAAGGTTCGCCATCGTATCAGAAACATAAAAGATAAATTTTTAAAAATGCCACTTTTCAAGTGCCACTTTACAAAAATGACACTTTTGTAATCTTTACAAAAATACCACTTTTTCAAAATTATTTTTTCTTTATATTATTTATGTTTATGTTAATTATAATCTATTAGGATTTAGTTATGAGGGTTTAGAAGGTTTTAGGGGTCAAAAATTTTTTTAGGGTTTAGAATTTTAAGATATAGGCTTTATAAATCTATAATTAGTGTTATTTTTGCAAATGGACACTTTTAAATGGTATTTTTGCAAATGTGCAAACAAAAAATAGCATTTTTGTAATTGCCCGAACATAAAATTAATTTAATTACTTTATTCTTGGTGAAATATATTGTTTGTTGTTTTACTACTTTGGGTTTGGACCAAATTTTAATCAAGACCCATAAAAAAATTCCGATTGATCATTGATGGTGTTTTATTTTAATTTTATTATTATGATTTTGTATGCTTGAAATTTGCGGAGATAAATTGAATCGCTATGGCTAAGAAATTCACGTGTCTAATGGTATTTGTTCTCTAATTTTTTCTTTATTTTGTTCTTCTATATATTATACTCTCTTATTCGTTGTTGATTTTTCATATTTCTTAATATTTTCTTATTTGTATATATAATATTATTATTCATTAATTTAGGTATTGATTTCGTTTTCTATAGTATTTCGTGATTTCTGTTTTGATGATTTTAAAAAATTTTAATTTTTCCAATTTATCTATATATACGATAGTTTGTGAATCCTGTAAACAAAAACAACAATAGTATCCTATAATTACATGAAAAATTTTAAAAAATGTCACTTTTCAAGTGCCAATTTACAAAATTGCCACATTTTTACAATCGTTACAAAAATACCACTTTTTCAAAATTATTTATTCATTATATCATTTATGTTTGGATTAACTATATTGTATTAGAGTTTAGTTTTGATGGTTTAAGGGGTTTTAGGGGTTTTAGGGATCAAAATATTTTTTAGAATTTAGAATTTTAAGATTTAGGTTCTAAAAAATCATAATTAGTGGCATTTTTGTAAATGTCCCCAATTACATGAGAACAAAATAATAATAAAATATACATGTATAATTAAGACGAACATAAAAATCAAAACAATAAAAACACGTAACTAATACGAATATCAAAGCGAAAAAAATTAAAGGAAAACTTTTTTTTTTTGGTCGAAAAAAGTGAGAATGTATATATACACCGAAAACAATGCAATTGATGAAGACAYTGGAGAAGAAGAGAGCATATATCAAACAAGATTTTTTATATAAGAACTACAATGTATGATCTTAAATAAAAAAATTGTTTGAGTTTTTCATGATATATATATTTGATGCTCTATATAATTATGACATTTGYGATGTGAGTTCATGGAAAGTTGTGAAGACGATATTGTTTAATTGTATCACATAATATACATTCAAAAAATAAAGAAACAGTAATTGTTTTATAGATTAAATATATTTTCGATAATATAATGGATTTGATTGATAAAATTGGCAAATAGTCTGAGTGTTGTTATAAACACAAAATTTGAGACAACTGGTCTAAAACTTGGACTATCTCTAGAAAATTCGTGCTCTGAATTGTTTGAAAACCAATCTCTGATGATGGAAAAATACATACTACCGGTATATTTTCTAAAGAATTTGCAAAAAATACAGACAAAGATAAAACAAAGATCAATAAAAAGATTATATTCAACACATAAATATTTTATATATATTCAATATCGATTTTGTTTAATACTATTATTTTTGAATGTTCAAACTATATTTCACTAAATAAAATATATAAGATACTATAAATTATTATCACCTCGATTGCTATTTAATATCTTTTCATTGGTATTTCAGTTAGTGTTGTTAAAATATCGTTCTCCTGTGCATTGGTGCGGGTACTGCCTAGTAGTATATAAAATAATATAAAAACGAGAGGTCAACATCATTCCTCCACTTGGTACAAGCTCTATAAACAAAGACAGAGATACTGCTTTTAAGTAGTCTTCCTTCTCCATATTTTGACTTTATTCACTCTGTAACTTTTTTTTTTTTTTGATAAAGAGACTCTGTAACTTTGCACCTCTCTCTTTATTCATGAGCTTTTGATAAAAAACGCAAAGAAAAGAAAATGGGATGCACAATGGTAATGGAGCTTGG